TTCCAGGTTCTTGGGTGCGAGTTTTAAAGCAGCTCTGCAGGGGGGCTGTATTGCAGGAGGAACATTGCCTTCCCCTGAATTACACACACTCTAACACAGTGTTACAGCTGGGCGAAAAGACGGACCGCTCTGCTACCCTGTTCTTTACACACCACCTTAAAACGTGTCGCGTTTTCCAATTTTGTGGTCCACTTTCTGATCAGTACCTTTAGGTGCACTATTACTCATCCAGTCTGAAGCAGCACTCTCAGAGCAGCCTTCATACCGAACATTACCATGTGTTCAGTGTCCAGATTGTATCTGAAAAGACTTTGAGCGGATTTCATTTACACTTTTTCCCCATTTACACTCAGATTTACTTGGTCCTCTCCCCAAACAACTTTGGTCCCCTTGACTCACTTTGTAAGAGCCTTGAACTCATCACTAACAGGATGGGACAAAACTCTCTGCAGTTAAGAGATTATTTTATTCAGGAATAGCAATGAGGGGCACCGACTAGCTGCCTATTTGGATTTGAGAGCCCTAAAATCTGAAGAACTAGCATGTAACCTCGATGTGCTAATGGACTCAGATCTCAGTTTAAGCAGTCATTCCAATCCCTGCTGAAAAACCCATAGAAACCATTAAGCGTTTCTGTTGGTTCCTGATAGTTTTGCAATGTGTTTTGGCTTTTTTTAATGGGTTGATATCACAATGTAAAGAATCCTAATGGTTTAACAGGTGACCAATGGCTGATTCTAAGCATATTCAATGGTTTCCTAATGGGATCTAAAGGTGTTCTACAGGAAACTAGTGATCTCTATTGGAAACCATTGAGCCGATTCCTATTAGAAAAGAAAATAATTAGGTTTTAGTTCTAATAGTTTCTAATGGTCCTTCTTCAGCAGGGAAAGCAGTTACTAAATCAGGATTTTATCACCTTAAGAACATCAAGTAGATGTTAGACTAAACTAGACCGTAAAATTGTAAACTCATTATAAATATAAGGTTCTATCTGACATTTTGTCGAGTTATGTACATATTGTTAATCACTTAGTGCTGAATGTTGTTGCTGGGGTTTTTCTTTAAAAACAAAAAAACGCCACAGTCTCTAAGTAATGAACAAAAGATTCCTTCTTGAGAATTTGCTTGCTAAGTTGGCTTCATAAGGTTTTACCTGCCTCAGCCAATCAGTGTGGCTGATGAATGCGGGAAAACCAATCAGAATTAATATTTCAACCATGTCTCCAAGCTGAGCTGAAATCTGTTTAGAGGGCTTATGCTATATTCATGATTTCTGGGAGCTCTGAATTTTCCACTCGGAATCTCCTTCTTCCCACCCAAAAGTGTTCATGCAGCTTCAACATTTACAGTTGAATTAAAGAGCTGTTTGGTTAGTGCTTCATGATTTGGATGCAGGCAATGGCAATTAACACAAAAACGTGTGGTTTGATCAAAAATCTTCGCAGAAGGTCTTAACTATACAAGTATTCCCTGTATTTATTGACATTCTACACAAATAGCATATCATCCACAATCAGAAACTCAAGAGTCTTTTTAAAACACTTAAAACACTCTATGACTTCTTGTTCTGTGTGCGCTGCCATGTTGAAATGATGCCTCAGATTTGCAACTCTGCAGCTCTTGAGAAACTCTGAGTGGGAATTACCAGTTTGAATGGATTTATCCTACTTGGAGGTCGGAAACATCCCAGTTCTCACCTGGTCTTGAAAGCAGCTTTAGTAACTTGGCTGTGAAAACTTTTAGACCTTTACAATATAGTAAGAAATGACTGTAGTAAAATGTAAACTGAAAATGTAGTAATACAACCGAATTGCCAACTAATTTAAAGTACTGACTTTTTTAAATTTGAAAATTTTACAGTTAGTGATACCAAGTGCTAATGTTAGACTGATTTGTGCAGAAATTTTAAACAATGAGATTTAAATGATTTATTGTACTTTGTTCATGAAAATGTTCACATGTAATACTAAATAAATTAAATTAAATATAAAAAAACTAAGTAAAAATATGCTACAATATGCTACTGATGCAACATTCTCCATGTTCCTTCTGCTTTACCTTAAACAAGCAGATCAACTGGCTCTTCTTCTTGGATCTAAAGGGATCGTTTGAAAAAAAAAATAAAGCAATGAAATGTTTTAAATGATGTGATCTAAATAATCCCAAATCATTTTTTGTACAAGTATTTCCCTGTGAGCATTTTAAAGGACTAATCAACCTCAAATAATTAGGAGGATTAAATTGGCCGGGTTTGAATCTGAACTACACCGAATGGCAGATTCCTGCACTGCAGTGGAAACTTAGAGCAGCTGAAAATATCCTGATTAGTGTTGTATTTATCAACAAGCAAGTGAAGGCTGCCACAGTCTATTTCTGGTAGCTCTATTTAAGACATGGCCCGACCCACCACCCCCAGCTTTAAAGAAATCATGGAGGGTAAGGGGAAATAGAGGCTTACATGTGTCGTTCAACTGTTGACCAATCCAGTAATCTATCTTGAAAGCTAACAGGATGTGTTCCACAGAAGTAGACATCTAGTCTCTCTTATCACAGAATATTTTAATATTATCTGAACAAACTGCACAGTGTATTGCAATCGTGTAGCTCCATTACATATGCCCTTTCTGAAGTGTATACTAATAACGTGATTTGGGACACAGCCCACTGAGGCCTAAATGTATCTGTGCTACAATATGATCTAGTCCCTTTGAAGCTACATGGTTGAAGTACTTTCAGTAGAGAAGACATACATAAGTAAACACACAATTAGCACCGACAAATGTAATTTTCAAACCCATGTACACACAAATTATAGCAGGCATTCGCTTTTTTAAATCGCTTTTTCATTTGCATATTTTGTGTTAGACCTATAATGGTTATAGTTGTGTCACAGCAAAGTTTCGATTGATCTATGAACTCCATGAAGTGTAATTACTAGTGTAATTGTTTTTTTTACACAAAACCAGTTTGTCTCCTCTCACAGATTTTGCTTTTTACGGTTAGCTTGTTAGACTTTTCTGACACCTGATTTATACATTTTTTTTACTCCCCCGTTTTAATGAGTTTATTGAAAATACGCATCTTTTGAAATCATCTGTCAAATGACTGTCTTGACTGTATGCGAGGTAATAATTCATTTTCTCGTTCAAAGGAAGCTTCGGATAGACTGGCTTTCAAGTTCTTTTCTTCAAAGGCCTTTTTTCCTCTTTTGACTTCAAAACTCAGAGCTTCACAATGAATATATTACAACTGGATTAGAAGCAGTCAAGGCCAACCACTGTACATTTCACCAGCCTTCTTACAGCTCATCTTACAGAACTGTTCCCAGCCCTGGACCTGGAAGCTCTAACACATCCATTTCAACACAGCTTGTTAATTAGCTGACTAGTTAGCAGCAGAACACCAAAAATGGAAGGGCTCTTCCAGGACCCAGGAGGCAAAATTGAGCTATACGTTGTGACAAAAGTTCTTGGTTTAGCTGTGTCAAATAAAACAGCATGTAAAAATTGCAGTAATAAACACTGAGGTGCCAGTTTGTTAGGCACTCATTGACAGTTCCATCAGAAACACTCACCATATACACGGATCAGGCATAACATTATGACCACCTCCTTGTTTCTACACTCACTGTCCATTTTATCAGCTCCACTTACTATATAGGTGCACTTTGTAGTTCTACAATTACAGACTGTAGTCCATCTGTTTCTCTGCATACTTTGTTAGTCCCCTTTTACCCTGTTCTACAGTGGTCAGGACCCTCATGGACCCTCACAGAGCAGGTACTATTTGGGTGGTGGATCATTCTCAGCACTGCAGTAACACTGACGTGGTGGTGGTGTGTTGGTGTGTGTTGTGCTGGTCTGAGTGGATCAGAAACAGCAGTGCTGCTGGAGTTTTTAAACACTGTGCCCACTCACTGTCCACTCTATTAGACACTCCTGCTTTGTTGGGCCACCCTGTAGATGTAAAGTCTCATCGATAGCTCATCTGCTGCTGTACAGTATAAGCTAATCATCCTCTAGTCCTTCATCAGTGGTCACAGGACGCTGTTGACTGGATATTTTGGGTTGGTGGACTATTCTCAGTCCAGCAGTGACACTGAGGTGTTTAAAAACTGGATGTAGACATGTGGTGTATTGCCTTTCTTTTTGTTGTTGTTAGCCATGTAGCCTTTAGCTTGTTAACGACCAAGAGAGCAAAGGGACAAAGTTGTCTTAGCTAGAAAAACCAGCAGAGATCTGCATAGCTGGTTACCAGCAAAGCAATGTTATGTTTTGGATCGTCAGCAGCAATGGCAGCAGTGGCTGATCACCACCAAAACCAGCATATATTGTGTTTTGGGTGCTGGTATACTGGTCAACCAGTATGACCATGCTGGGTGACCAGCTAAACCAGCACCAGCTCAGCATAAACCAGCATTAAGCCAGCTTAGACCAGCTTTGAATGCATGCTAAGCTGTTGTTCATCAGCAGTCATGTATAATAGATACAGTAGTTTGCAGTTCTGGTTGTAATTCTGGTGCTGAAGCCAACAATTGTGTTCATTCAATCCTTTGCCTCTCGTTTCATCCATTTCTGACTTCATACAAAACAATATAGTATTAAAATGTACCTGGACCTTAGAGGATGGGCTATAGACTCTAAATGTACCCCAGCAAGGTGAAGCTTCAAGGAAAAGGTGTCTAATAAACTGGCCAGTAAATGGGCAATGGGCAAACCCCCAGCAACACAGTACCATGCCTCTACCATGTCAGTGTCACTGTTGTGCTCAGAATGGTCAACCAATCAAATAATATCTCATCAGTGGGGGTCCTATGGTGATACTTATCCAATGATGGACGGGGTAAAGATGGGCTATAGTAACTGTAAACCTACAAAGTGTTCAAATAACATGGCCAATGAGTGTAAATACAAGGTAGGTGTCCTAATGTCATAGTTTGTGCTCTTTGTAGGACAGTATACCTGTACCTGATTTTACCTTTGTACCCCATTCTCCAGGTGAGGTACAGGGCACAGCAGGGGATGACCCGTCTGGCCGTGGGAAAGATGTTGGCAGTGTGGCTGCTGGCCTTTCTCCTCTATGGTCCGGCCATCATCTTCTGGGAGCAGGTGGCCGGGGAGAGCATCGTTCCGGCGGATGAGTGCTACGCCGAATTCTACTGCACATGGTACTTCCTGCTGAGCGCCTCCACCTTCGAGTTCTTCTCGCCCTTCATCTCCGTGGCCTTCTTCAACCTCAGCATCTACCTCAACATCCAGCGGAGGAACCGGAGCCGGGCGGCCCGCCGGTGCATCGAGAGAGAGGACGGCTGGCGGGTGGCGGATGGTGCCCCGTCGTCTTCCTCAGCTGTCTTCTTCGTCAAAACGCGCAAGGTTTCCTCCAGCGAGCCGGCAGCCGTGTCTGCCGTCATCGAAGAAGACGAGGAAATCTCGCCTTCCTCAAGTGGAGGAGACCCCAGCAGTAGCCACTCTGTTTCTCTGTCCATGAAGACCATCAACAAGAAGAAAGGAGCTTTGGGTTGCTGGTTAAGGACGCGCATGATCCAAGCACAAAGTCCATCCAACTCTTGCACCCCTTGCAGGACTGGAGGGCATTCCCGCCTATCCCGGGACAAGAAGATTGCCAAGTCCCTGGCAGTGATCGTGTGCGTTTTTGGGGTGTGCTGGGCTCCGTACACCCTGCTGATGATCATCCGTGCGGCCTGCAGTGGCACGTGTGTAGAATACCACTGGTATGAGGTCACCTTCTGGCTTCTCTGGCTCAACTCAGCCATCAACCCTTTCTTGTACCCACTCTGCCACAGCAGCTTCCGCAGGGCCTTTGCCAAGATCCTTTGCCCGAAACGGCAGTCTGTGGGGCCGCATGAGGAGAACCCATCCTGCCAGTGATGGAGTGAGTCCAGCGGATGATGTTTTGCACAGTTCTCAGTGATTATGCGTCAAAGCTGAGAGCAACAACCCGTAAGATGAGGAACGCCCTAGAGAGGAATTACTTTTGAGAAAAATCAATACAACAAAGGCAGCTTAATTGTGTGGAGTGGTAACAGGTTTTCATTTCTCCTCGAGAAAGCAAAGGAACCTTATTATGAATTAGTAGCGTCATTTCCTCGTTCTTTTCTTTGTTTCTTTCCAAACTACAATATCAGGATTGACCGTCACTTTGTGAAAAACACAACTGCCTACTGACCCTTTTGACGAATATTGCAGCTGGAAATCAGTGACAAAAGTGATGCATCCATGTTTGTGCATGTACAGGGCCTTCCATCAGCTGTTTGGTTGGCCTTGAAATTGATGATTGTGGATTCTGCTTCGTGGACTGAAGATGCACTCAGCTGGAGAAGCTCTGAGCTCCTAGATTAGACCCTGCATCATGATGCAGAGGAATGCAGGAAAATAATGCACTGCTGTTTCTCCGGCTCTCTGTCTCGAAGCCCAGCATGGCTTTGGAAAGACTTTATCAGCTGCCCTCTGTGGTTCCCTGAATGTAGTCTTGTGTTGTTCTTCAACGTGAGACAAACTGGTGTTAGTTTTGTCATCTGTAAGGAATGTGACTCGTGTTTTCACAAGTTTGAATTACAAAACGGAAGGCGTGAACAGCCCAACTCGAACTTCAGCAGTGTTCTCTTGTTTAAGTCTCAGTCATGGTTTATAAAACAGAGTAACGCTCCACCATAACAGGCCTTAATAAACAGCATAATCATTATCTAATGGTTTGTAGCCTCTCTGAGTCGGATTTGGTCACAGTGGTGGTGATGGGAACCGAACGTCTGAAGTGTTAAATGTCTCTGAAAGCCCTTTCACAGGAAGCTATTACATGAAATGTTTTGACTACTTTGTCTGATGCCTGAGACGATGTTTTATGCTAGTTTTAAGGTAAGATTGTGGACTAAAATGTGTTTTTAAAACCCAGAGAGATGTCTGCCAGCAATTCTAAGGCAAAATTGTACCTCAAGAAAACATTTTTTTCATATTTATTACTATTTTACCATTTTCAACATTACAGGTATAAACTCAGAAGACACATCTTGGTTCACTGGTTGTTTTGGAGAGTAAATAAAATGGCTATATTTATGTTGTAGACATTGTGACCCCTGGTTCCTATCAGCACCACTGTAAAGAAATCTGATTCTGTAAGTTTCTCTAAAATCTCACACCAAACCACTCTGAATGACTTTGTTTACATCTCAGCTATTGAATTATGCACAAAATTTGAAAAATCAATGGAATTCCCCTTTAAGTAGTTACTTAATACCTATTCCTAATGCTCAGTTAATCATTTCTAAGTGGTTAATATGTACTTTTTATACATTGATGATCATTCACTGGACCCATATTATAAAGTGAGACTTTATAATGTATTTATAAAACTATATCATATTATTTATAACACTTAAATATAATATTTCTAACAAGCATTTACATTGGTTTAATGTATGTCACTGAGTATATGGTTAATGGTAGCACATAATGCTTAAGTAACAATGATGTCATTATTAAAAACTATTAGATTATGAAGTTTATAGAGGCCTGTTATCAAAATTTATAGACAAAGATACTACAAATCACAATTAGAGCATAATTGGATCCACAAATGGGGCGATTTTGTTGGTGGCACATAAATCACAAATCATAAATATGTGCTTTAGTCATATTATGTAAGAAATAACTACTTGTTCTTAGAATTTGGAAAGAATAACGTATAGGATTTTTAAAAAAATGATTGTACATACAGTTATGATATTACCCTTTGTTAGATAACTTTGGTTCACGACTTGTTTATCAATGATTTCTGACCGTTTAAATGCCTTTTGACCATTTGTGACCATTTTAAATGCCGTTCAGTAAAATTAAATGCCGTTGTAACTAATTAGTCCTAACTGTCTAACTCGCTGGTTTTCCAGTTCTCCCAACAAGCAGCTCCTTGTACAAGACTGAGGACTCCAGAATGGAAAACATATCAGGGAACAACTTGCCTTTTAAATGTCAGCTGCTAATCCATGCATTACACAGACACTGAAAGCGCATTTCTTTAAGCGCGGCACAAAATTGAGTCTTACCACTCCCTCAGATTTGTCTCTCCAGTGTCACAGCTAACCTCGCCAGAGTGGTTTTATTGAAGTAAAGGCAATTTTGCAGATGGGTTCGAGAGTACTCCGAGCTTAACAGCTCAATTTCAAGCTGAAGTTAATTAAACATCAATCTGTGGCTTCCTTAGAAACTTAATGTGAAAACCTGAGGCCTCTTAACCAGGTGATGCTTCTGTGCTAATGTGATGGCAAAAGAAACTGCAAATTATGATGAATTAGAGAAAAATGTCAAAAGCCTACAGAAATGTGAAAAAAGTCAGACCACCATTTTTTATTTAATTTCCTATTAAAACAGCCATTAAGTACAACTTATTCATTTTTGCTGTAAATATTTCTGGGGACTTTAGATACAAGATTGCACAAGAAAGGCCAAAGCTTTCAAAGTTGAAGTTTACTTGGTAGACCACCAAAACTGTCCTCATCAGATAAACAGCACTTAAAGCTTTCATCTCTGAGAGAGAGGAGAAAATCAAGCTGCTTCAGATCTGAAAACATCCACAGGTGTTTCTGTCCATCCTTCCACTGTGAGAAGATGTCTCAGCCCTATGGGTCTGAAAGGATGTGTAGCTGTCAAGAAGAACCTCACTGAAAACCAGAAACATTTTCAAATTAGACAAAAAAATTGGAAATCAACTGAAGAAGAACAGACCTCAGCATCACTGAATGTATTTAGGATTACTTGGATTGTGAGAAGCAGAAAATGCAACCAACTTCTAGGACTGAACTTTGGAGGTGTACATCTCTGCGGATTTCTATAAAAATATGTTGAATATATCTTCTGCTTTTATTCCTGACACTGAAAAATGAATATCTTGTACGTAAAGATTATATATATGACATTTAAACATTAATATAGCAGCAAACAACTATTTTCCATGTAAAGACATAGTGTGCGAACAGCCTATGAGCTACACTGCTCATTAACCAATCAGTACTCAATAGCAGTATGCTAACTAATCAGCACTCAGTAGCAGTAATGCCAACTAATCAGCACTCAGTAGCAGTAATGCCAACTAATCAGTACTCAGTAGCAGTAATGCCAACTAATCAGCACTCAGTAGCAGTAATGCTAACTAATCAGTACTCAATAGCAGTAATGCCAACTAATCAGTACTCAATAGCAGTAATGCCAACTAATCAGTACTCAGTAGCAGTAATGCCAACTAATCAGTACTCAGTAGCAGTAATGCCAACTAATCAGCACTCAGTAGCAGTAATGCCAACTAATCAGCACTCAGTAGCAGTAATGCCAACTAATCAGTACTCAGTAGCAGTAATGCTAACTAATCAGCACTCAGTAGCAGTAATGCCAACTAATCAGTACTCAATAGCAGTAATGCCAACTAATCAGCACTCAATAGCAGTAATGCTAACTAATCAGCACTCAGTAGCAGTATTGCCAACTAATCAGTACTCAATAGCAGTATGCCAACTAATCAGCACTCAGTAGCAGTAATGCCAACTAATCAGCACTCAGTAGCAGTAATGCTAACTAATCAGCACTCAATAGCAGTAATGCCAACTAATCAGTACTCAATAGCAGTATGCCAACTAATCAGCACTCAGTAGCAGTAATGCTAACTAATCAGCACTCAGTAGCAGTAATGCTAACTAATCAGTACTCAATAGCAGTATGCCAACTAATCAGCACTCAGTAGCAGTAATGCTAACAAATCAGCACTCAGTAGCAGTAATGCAAACTAATCAGCACTCAATAGCAGTAATGCTAACTAATCAGCACTCAATAGCAGTAATGCCAACTAATCAGCACTCAGTGGCAGTAATGCTAACTAATCAGCACTCAATAGCAGTAATGCCAACAAATCAGCACTCAATAGCAGTAATGCCAACTAATCAGCACTCAGTAGCAGTAATGCTAACTAATCAGTATTCAGTAGCAGTAATGTTAGCGTCCTGCTGCCCAAAATCCGTTGGCTGTAGAATAAAGGAAACACAGTGTTTTTAACTGTTGAGCTCTGTTTACTCCCATTCTTTGAGGACTCGCTCGCGGGCGCCCTCTGGCATTTTGCAGTCATGTTTTTGCTATAACGGGGGAAATAGGAAGTGGCCAGGCTCCTCCTCCCCTTTGCTATTTTTGCTGTTTCACAGAACCAATAGGTCAATATTGTTTTGTCCCGTTTGTTAACATTTGTGATAGCAACTGGTTAGCTTCGCTGCAGCAATCTTAGCGACAGTTTTCTAACCCACAACCCAGCTAATGCTAGCTACATTACTTGCTGCGTCGTTGGTCGCTCTTATGTCATATCATGGTATTTGTCTGTACGTTTGTGAAGGTTTTATGACCACACAGATCTAAAAAAGCGTCGTTCACCTCGGCAATGCCCGTCCATGAATCTGAGGGGCGGAGCTTCTGAAGGAGCACTGAAGGGGGGGGTGTGTTTGTTTTGCTGTTGAGTTCAAATAGAAACAATCGTTCTCCAGAATCCTATAGTGCACCATTCATGGTTGTTTTGACTAGAACTTAAACAATTAAAGGGTGGTCTCTGACTTTTGCACAGTCAATATATCAAAATGAACTAAATTCTTCATATGATCAACATTTTCAGCGATTCAGAAAAGCATATTTGGGATTGTTGAGTCTGTTTAATTCTATATTGTGGGATATTTTCCTGATGCTGTGCATTGAAGCAGAAGCCGGAGGTTTGAGGTGATATTTCTCCACTCACACTCACCTCTTATGGTTATTTGAGAACATTATTATGTAAATCAGTGCTTAAAGCGAGTGCCTAAGAATGTTTGATGACTTTCATAATAGGATTTTTGCCTGAATGAAACCGGGCATTAGGCACGTATGAGGTTTCAAAAGATGTCAGGAAATGACGGAAAAGAAATTCCCAAGGGGACCGTATTTCATGAGCTTAAGTTAGAATGTCGGAATTTGAGTGATGGGACCAAATGTGGACCAAAACCCTTCAAATTAATTCCACCCACAAACAGCACAGTGTGGAACTCGGTGAAGTGCAGGCCAAGGTTACCGGAATATCATTTCGTCCTCGGAGTTTTATACGTGTAGACTGCCAAATAGGACGACTCCTTAGGAAAACAAAAAAAAAATACTTTAATGAAAGTTCATTTGGTCTCCCGAATACCATGTATCATCAAGGTCCCTGGATGACGATAGAGACGAGGGCAAAAATCTTCAAGCCCTTGACCTCTCGGAAATAATAAGGATGACTGTCACTGTATTGAATCTTTTGTGTGAAGTGGGACTCATTCCCTTTCCAAAATAACTTTGCCTTCCTCATGGCTCTGTCTTTGACAGACGTACCAGTCTCCCCAAGTCCCTTCCTAGGGACCCCTACTTATATCCCGGGTGAGCACCTCATCTGCATCAGTAAGCAGGATGAGTAGGATTCGGAGGGCCGCTTCTCCATGGCCGTCATTGGTATTCTCCCATTTGTTTCAGGTTCCCAAGCGGGTAAAACAGGAGAAAACTCATTAAAACAGCTGGGAGCAGGCTAAAGTTGTGACACAGCAGGAGAAAGGACACATTCCACTGTAGGCTCCCTGCCAATTTAAAATGTGGCCCAGCGACCCAAAGCCCGAGGGGATAGCAGGCAGCCAAAGCAGCCACAAACTCATTCGACACTGTTATCTCTCCATGCTTTCCCTCCATTACTCTGAGAGCATAATGAACGGGCAAGCAAACACTTAGAAATCAACAATTAGTTTGATTAGTTTGAAAGCGAAGCACTCCAGGCTGCAAATGATACGCTCTTATCGAACCCTGCTTTTTAGACCGCTGTACAGGGGCCTGGAATGTAAGATTATTCCATTCAAAATCATTCCATTGACATCCCTGGAGATTTGAGTTGGGGGGAGGGGGGGGTCTGTAGCTTGTGCCAAAACACCCTAAACTTATTTTAACTAGGGATGTGCATTCTGACCAGTTTTGATATTTGAATATCCCTAAAGGTTCAAGAATAGATATCTGGTAAACCGAAGGGAACAGGGAAGGGAAACAACTCAGAAATAAATGAAAAATTAAATAAAAGGGCCTTTTGGTGAAAATAATGGGCTGTAGACTTGGCTTTTTAGGTGACAGCACTGCTGTTATTACAAAAACCACACAGAGGAACGTTTTATTATTCCACAACAGCCGAGAGGCGTCGGTAGGTTTTGTGTTGGATGAGTAAATGACTGCCACTTCAGATGAGCTAATGAGCTAACGAGCTAACAGCACGAACTGGTGTCATGTTGATGCCTTCTACACAAGGTGTTTCCTCCTCGGTGGATGATGTGCCAACATATTATTTATCAAATAAAGGTTTTTATTGTTTCTGGCCCAGCTAACATCAGCTAGAGTAGCTGGCTTAGTTAGCAAAACAGCTACGCTAGCTTAGCTTTCTCAGCCACGTCCTTAGCAACACTTCCTTAGCAAAGCGTTCACGTTCAGGCACTCGTGTTTCAGAGTAGCAAAGTAAGTTATTACATAAAATATGAGCAAATATGAGCAAAACTGACACGTTTCACTGAATTTCTGGCCTGTATATTTTCTGTCTTCCTGTGACAAAACATAATGAATATGCAAAGTAGTGAATTTGGTATTCGAATACCAGCAGCTGAAACAGCAAACCGAGGACTACACAATATAATGTGATTAATCGTGATAATTTTGTTTGACAGCTAAAATATAGTGATAAAAACTTCCCATATTTATTTGTTTCAAGTTTCCTTTTTTGTTAATGAATGGTTTGAAAGCAGCTAACATCTTAAGAATGTGCTCAAATAACTAAAGGTTTTTAAATGCCTTCTTTCAGTGGACGTATCAGATCTGTTAGGGATGGAAGTCTGCAGGAAGGTAGGAGCAGGTTTGGTTACCACTGTCCAGGAAAATAAGATTATTCCAATTAAAAATGGTTCCATGGGCATCCCTGGAGATTTCTTTTTTGGGTGGGGAAGCTGTAGCTTGTACCGAAACCCCACAAACTCAGGTTAACTGCTTTCCAGCCATTCATCACCACTAAAGAAACAAGTAAGAGCTGCTTTTATCACTGTATTCTAAAAGCACTAGACCCTAAAAAAACGATTTACCTGCGTAAATCGTCTGAAAACGTGATTAACAGCAGTTTGCCAGTGACCCCACAGTGTAAAAGGGTTGGAAGGTATGAAACACAGGGGAGAGCTCCACAGCCGGCATGTTGTATTGTGAGGAAGGCAGCATTGATTTTTCCCATGCACACACACCAGATGAAAGCTGGCAGTGGGCGTGCATTGTCAGTTGGTCAGTGGGCGTAAGCAGCACATTTGCAATGATGTGACAAAAGCAAGACAATAAACGAGCCCCTCGTGTTGGGCGACAGTGTCAGCATGGCTATTGCAAATGCCGCCGGGAACATTTTTGGTAAACAAAACCAAACCTAAAGGTTACTGCATTCATTCAGAGCTAAGCCGACTGTTCCTTTAACTTTTCAGACTTAAAAAAAAGCCTTAATTAAGACGACTTTTATGAACAAGAGAAAGCTAAACCAGAAAGCACAGCTGTGCACATTGAAATCCACTGTTCAAAAGCTGTTCCAAGGAAAGAATCACAGCCCCATTCATCTGGGTGGAGAAACAAACACTGGAAGCTGATGATAATGATGGAAAAAGAGGATATTGCAAGAAGCATGATGCAATGAATGTTAAATTCTAGTGCAAGACAGCCTGTCAAGGCATGACGAACAGAGCATTTCTAGGCCACATGAAATAACTCCTCAAAGGAGGGAGTAAGCAGAGGCTGCAAGAGGGGGCCGTAAAGAAGAGAACATGTAATATGTATGGACTGAGTTGACTAGGACAAAGAAAATGAATGTGTGAGGAAGACAAAAAAGGGCGACGTGCGAGAGGAAAGTGAGAGACAGGAAGATGGGAGTGAAGAAGTGACGTTGAAAGGCTATAATGGCCCGGTGGTCTTGCGAGTGGACAGCTAGAATTGGGGAGCGGCGTGGAGGCACAATAGTCCCAGTAACCCTGAGAAGAGATACAAAGAGGGAGATAGTTACTCAAAGCAAACCACAGGCCACCGTATGGATTCTTCTCAGCTCCCTACAGAGACAGATTAGGGCTTGACATGTTAAAATTGCCATAAGTAATATGCCGGAGTCGCTAGAGGTGCCAGTGAACTACAGAGATAAGAGGATGAAATTCGGCTCACCAACAGATAATCGATTTCTATCATACACACAAACACAACACCCCCCAATGTGTTCCGCACCAGCCGTCAAGGGTCTAACCAGTGAGAAGCACCGCACTCTAGTGGTAATACGGATTTCCAACCAGCTTTCCAACTCGAATCCCAACACTTATTTTCTGCCAACACCAGCTCACCGTGGCGTCCTCCGCACTATTAAACTAAGCTTTGTAGCTCTGAAGGGTGTAACAGCACACATTTTCAGATTGAGTGCACCTCTCAAGTTCAGTCTTGGATGTTGGTTGCATTCCCTGCTGAAAAAGTCCATAGAAATACCTATTAAGTGTTTGTTAGTTCCTAAAAGTTTTGTAATGTTTTGGCTTTTATAATGGGTTGATATCACAATGTAAAGGATCCTGATGGTTTAACAGGTGACCAATGGCTGACTCTAAATGCATCTGATGGTTTCCTAATAGGATCTAAAGGTGTTCTACAGGGAACATTAAGCCAATTCCCATTAGAAAGCAAAAGCATTATTCATAGGTTTTATTCTTAACTATTTCTAATGGTCCTTTTCACAATCCAAGTACTCAGGATCATAAAATAAACAGAAAACATGACAGAACATTTATTTATACACAACCCTCAACAATTAAATATATTTTATATGTTCTATATGTAAAATAGGCCACCACTGGACTCTGGAGCAGTGAAAACGCATTCTGAGCGATGAATCACACTTCTCTATCTGTCAGTCTGATGGACGAGTCTGGGTTTGGCAAATGCCAGAACATCACCTGCCTGACTGCACTGTGCCAGCTGTAGTTTGGTGTGAGCCAGGCCCTCTCGTCCAACATCAGTATCTGACCTCATAAATGCTCTTCTGGATGAATAAGCAAAAACCCCCACACTCTCCAACATCTTGCAGAAAGCTTCCCAGAAGAGTGGAAGCTGTTAGAGCTGCAAAGGGGGACCAACTCCATATTACTGCCGCCTATGGATCTTAAGTGGGATTCATAAAAGCTCCTGTGGGTGTAATGTGTGGGTGTACCAACATATTTGACCATATAGTGTATGTCTGTCTCCTTTTCTCAGTGGTCTTCTTAACATCTACACATCCTTTCAGACCGATAGCACTGAATCATCTTCTCATAGTGGAAGGATGGACAGAAACACCTGTGGATGTTTTCAGATCTGAAGCAGCTTGATTTTCTCCTCTCTCTCAAAGATGAAAGCTTTAAGTGCTGTTAATCTGATGGGGACAGTTTTGATGTCTACCAGGTTGTTAGGAGTCCCAATTTATCTGTAGCTTTTAGTGATTTTTTGGACTCGTTTTGTAAACTTGTGTACTTTTTTCCATTGACTTTACCCTTCTTTATGCAAGTGGATTATCTTATTTCCTCAAAAATATCTACATTACAGTCATTACAGTGATTTTTGCACTGTAGTGTAGCATAAACCCCACTCACTTTACTCTCATATGATGCACCCAGATGTCTAATTTTTGATCATTAACAGTGGTTTATATGAAAGACTATAAATAAGAAAAACATGATTGTCAGTCTTAGTATCAAGATGTTCTGCAAGGAAACAAAACAATTTATCAAGATTTTTTAATATGTAAAACATTTATTGTATTATGCATACAAAAAAATTAAAACCACAAATAAAAGTAAAAATCAAACATTAAAGTAATGACAAATTTGGCATGCTCCCTCCCTGTGTTGAAGCCCTTCAAGTCCTCACTTGATCATCAAGATGCTTTTTCTACTCTGCCAATTAAATTTTCGCCCTTTTCACATTTTAAAACGGCTCAAACTGCTCAGCTTTTTTGCAAACACAGATCCATCTGTGCCATCCAAATAGCGATTTCTCTACAGTAGAATTATTACTGTATTAATGTCATCCTGCAATGTTGTGCAGAGACTACAAGAAGCACCTACATGTCACAGTCGTATCTAATAAAACCTGAAGAAAAAGAATCCATTTCTTGTCAACAGTGTTGAAAAATCCAGAAGATATTTATATTCACAGATGGAGTTTGTTCAATTAAAAAACAAGTTAACTAAAAACTACATTGATTTTATTAGCTCAAAGGACCTGTAAAAAATGCTTACAAATACACCTGCCCTAGTAGATGAATCCTGGGCAATCTGAGAGACACCTAAACCAATAATCAATGCACTTGAATATCAGTGTTTAGGACATGATCAAGATGGTATTAACAACTTTATACCATCTTTAGAGAACCTTCAACATAAAATATCTGTAAACAACCTGATTACATTACCCCCAATAAAATCATTCAATATGCAAAGTACTCTAGTTGCCAGCTTAATAGAATCCGTTTCCCAGGCCAATATTAGAATTACAAAAAAGGCTGCATCTGACATTAACTTGCTGCAAATAATTTACAAATGCGCTTAATAATTCATCTCACTTTCAAATGCATATGAAACCGGTCCCAGCACCACTGGGATTCCCTGTTGTGCACTGGGGGGGGGATAAATTCAGAGGTTTAACTCTTCTATCTCGACTAAACACTTTTCCAAAAGGTAACTTTTGACATAACATTGTTTTTGTGCTTGTTGATTGCTGACAATCGGCTTCCCTCAACACTGCAGAAGCTGAGTATCGACCCTAGCACACAACAAAGGTCCAAGAATGTGCTGAGAGCCGTTTAGCATCGTCCCTGCCCTAGGATTAAAACTGTAGAAAAATATTCACTGCGTGCATACTTATGTGAGCTTTTTTTTACACTTACAACAAAAAGAAGATAATAGACTGGTCAGCTTTTACAAGTGATCAGAATGAACAGGGTGGAAAAGTACTGCCCAGCAAGATTGTTAACCAGTGCCTCAATCTGTCCAGGCTAACTTTGGAATATCACTTCCAAATTATATGGCAGATATTTCAAAATATCTGCAAATTGAAGGGTTGAAATATCTTAAACAAGACATTTGTTATTCACCACTAAGCATTTGCTTCAAATCAATATATCACATTTTCTGTAAAACATTCATTTTCCAGCACCACGAATAAGGCAGCTCCATCTTTGGTCAAATCGCAACACATCAAATGCTTTTTACACATTCAAATTACGTTAAAGTGATCAACTGTGTGTTTATCTGCATGATTAACATGAACTCAGAACGTTCTGAACACTACTGTGTGATCAGCTTAAGCAAGCTCAACAAGAAGGAGGTAAAACTGAAAATGTTAATAGAGATGCTTGACTACATTAGTCTGGCTTCAGTGAACTGACTCATGATACGGTTCCTTTGATCTCCCCTCATCATCGGTCCTATTGCGAACGTCTACCTGAATTCTGACAAAGGCAGCTTATTTTGCATGATTCGAGATGGAGGCTCAATAGAAAGGCAGCTAGATGCATAATTTGAGGTTTAGTTGCAAGATTTAAAAATTAAAAAAAGAAAAAACGTCCAGTCTTTTAGACTAGGAAGAGTCCTAAAATGCCCACAGTATTAAACATTCACTCATCAGTATCAGTGACTGAGCTCACATTGTATCATTCAGTGTTGATTATTAATAAAACAGAGGATAAACTCTGTTTGCTGATCAATCTCCTGGAACACTGGTCATGTCTTTTTCCACCCTGTTTATCCAGTTGGCAAAGCGAAAACAATACACAAGCTAAGCGATAGCTGTCAGTTTCATCTACAGTAAACTATATAATAAATCAGGGAATCTGGGATGCAAATCCCTCGGAGCAGAGCGTCCCAACATGTTTCTTATTCCTACCTAACCAACCACACAGTGACAAAAGAGACTGCATTTACATGCAGATCCTCTACCGTCACTGGATTACACAACTTCACAATTTCTTAAAAATGCATTGAGTCATTTCCTCATGTCATATTTTAGACCTCTACTGTGCTAATGGGGTGATGCATCCATTCGGAAGCCATCCAAATTCCTTTTGACGGCTGTCAAAAATGCCAAGAAAAATAAGTGTTTTGATAGCTAAGAGTAGGGAAAAAACCCAAAAGATAAAACTGTTGATACACAGTTCATGATTACCTGACTTCTAAAAAAATATGAGGTCCGATAAAAAAAATGCTGGGTCAGTGACATTCTGCCAGGGAAGGGTGGGAGCAATTTTAGGAACTCATGATTGAAGAATACAAAAGTAGTGGCTCTATGAGAGAATAGTCATGGGGGGAATAAAGGTGCCAAATGAAGCTCCCCTCACATCACAGCGCATTCTCTGGATCGGGTTTTTGGATCGCCCTGAAAAGAAAAGACAAGACATGACACACAAACTTGCCAAATAACACAGCCAAGAAATCACTCAAGCACAAAATGAGAAATATTAATAAACACCATCCCCACCGACTTAATTTCATTTTACACAAAAATGAGAACTAAAGAAAGAAATGAAGAAACTTCACCAGGTTTAATGTGAATCACATTTAGAAATGATACACAAAATCTATCAACTTGCCTGCTGATGGAACAGATCTTCATCGCCGAAGTCTCTTTCCTCATCGTCTCCATTCTCTATCTCTACCACGCTTTTCGTGACTGTTCGTTTTGCCACCTCCTGCAAAGTCAGATACGATTTTGAATATATGACATTTTCATACATGACATTTTCATACATGACATAAAGCAACACAAAAAGGATGCATTCATACTGAATTTAATCTTGGCTTTAAGAAAAGAAAAAACAACAACTATTGACAGCTGTGAGATACATTTCTTACATGTTCTTCCAAGAGAGGTTAAAAAAGTTATAGAAAGTGTTAAACTGGAATTTGTAAACAATGAACAAGACAGATCCAAGAGCCCTGAAAAAACCCAGCAACAAAATTAACTTCTTTCTACCGGTGAACACGTACCTCTCCATCTGAGTTGACCAACAAGGTGAGGGTTTCATCTCCAGTGCCCCAGCTGCTCTGGCTCTTCCACAGCAAATCTGAGGGGGGGCTGTGAGACACACCTGCATCTGCAGCCCATACCTGAGCACAGCAGGAGAAAAAAAAATAAAATAAAATACACACACCCAAGCACAACTGTTTACTTGGGTAAACAGGACAAAAGGTAAAAGGACAAGAAGCAAGAGGAAAACAGAGATAAACCCACTGACCGTAACAGTCTGGCCTGCTTTCAGGACAAACTTAGGGCTGAACTTGTAGGCAATTTCTTCTCCTTCTCCAATTTGCCTCTTTAGCCTCCAGCTTCCCAGAGATTGATCCTAAAAAAGAAAAATTAAATTTAAAAAAATGTAAAACAAAACATATAAATGCTGAAATTCTAACCTTAATTTTTACTGTAAGATTCAATTCAGGTTCCAAGGCAAGAGGCAATTTTTCACCAGATAGTCATAATAAATGTTCTTAGCTTGTCTCAAATGGTCACCAAACAAGCTGCTGCTTTTAAAGTTTCATGTCCAAGTACCACATTTTTCTATGACTGCAGAATTCCAGTATTTTAATTAAGCCTGAACTTGAGTTGAATCTATCCTTGTTCTTATATACACTGTGCCTGTGCCATAACCCACCTTATCAGAGTTGTTCTTGAGGGTGACAGATTTGCCCTCCAGGTCAATCTCCTCGATAGTGATGCCACCTGTAGCCTCAGCCTGCTGACTGATGTGAACATTGGGCGCGCTGACCGGTTCCTCTTCCACACGCTTCCTCTTGGCACGGGAGGTGCGAGAAGAACTGCTGGCTGTGCTTCGGGTGACAGTCACTCGAGAAGAGGGGCTGGGGGAAAGCTTCAGCCTTGGGGTGAAAAACACAGTAGCCTTACAAAATATGTCACATGGCTAGAAATGCCCAACACTGGTTGGAAGAGCATGACCAAGACTTCCACGTACTACCCTGGCCCCCTAATTCCCCAGACTTGAACCCTGTGGGACCACCTCGATCGTTGTGTTCGCTCTAAGGATCCTCCCCCACACACCCTCCAGCAGCTGTGGGATGCGCTGCAGTCAGTATGGCTCCAGATACCTGCGACAACCTACCAGGACCTTACTGAGTCACTCCCACCCAGCCCGTCTAGCTGCTGTCCGTGCTGCACATGGCGGTTACTCTGGATGTTAGCTGGTGGTCATAAAAAAGCTAGATACCATAGTGTTTTAAGAAATTTTATTCTACATTTAATTTTTTTTAAGGGGAAACATCAAAAAGCTATTAAATGATTATACTATAATTACTTATTTACAGTAATTTCTTAGTAAGTTATCTGATCAAGATTTGATCACCACTTTTCGAATACAGGGCATCCTTCCTCGGTCATTACAGAATCATCTACAGTTCATCTAACCCCCCCCCACCCCCCAACCCCCCTCTAATTCATGTTTGGGGGTAATTATTTTCAGTAAAACAATTATTTGTTTTACTGAAAATAATTACCCCCAAACATGAATTAAGATAAACTTTTGAAACCTAATATAAATGCTCCATTACTACTCTAAAAAATTAACAATTTTTAAAGTGCATAGTGTTGAATTTTAAGGTAGAACCAAATGTATCACTCATGGATGCACAAACACATCTGAGATGGAGTCACTGGGTCAGAAATAGTTGAAAACCCCTGTTCTAGAGTGGTGAACACTGCCATCTACAGGCAACAGTTAAAAAACACATTACATTGCTAATTTTTGTCCTTAATTTTCCCTCCACATTCTAAGTCCTCTTTTATTCATTTTAACTCTGACTGTGCTCTTCTAAACGGCATCCTTAAGTAAAGCTTGCTAACTGCTTTACACTCCCCCCCCTGAGCTTCATCACATCCAGGAGCTCTGAAGCCTAACAAAGTCTTATTCCCTACAGTCTTTCAGGAGTCTGCTCAAGCATAAAGGACAGTGTTTCAACTGACAAGCTGCTATCATTTAGTTCACATGAGAGGAGATAGCAATAAACACGGCTGAACCTGAGAGAAGCAAAACTGACATCTCATGCGTTTGAGCTCGGAATAAAGTAATTTAGAGCTGGTATGATTTATAAAATGTTACACGGTGAACATGTGTTTCAATAAGTGACTAACAGACATGTTTAATTCTACCTGAATATCATGCTCGTAGGCTTAAAAGCTTAAAACCCTGGAATGATGCAAAACACTGCCCCATTCACTCACACATCAAACAGCATTCTTGGCATTCTTTCCAAGTCGGCCCACCTGAAGCAATTCAAGGCATGCAGCTTTAAGCAAGCCTTCAGTCTGCCACTAGCACCGGCTGCACACCTGGACTAGTAGTGTACAGAGGTAAAAATGCCCCTACAAGCACTGCCTCAGGTAATGTCTAAAAATGCAATTTGTGTTTAAAGCAAAGGTGCCTAACCCTGCTGCTGTAGGTCTACTATCATGTAGAGTTTAGTTCAAAATGTAGTAACAGGGTAAACCTCCCCAGATGGTTGAGAACCAAGCCCTGTATGAAGAAAGCCTTATGCCAGGAATCAGTTCCCCCCCCAATCATAGGCTTATTATTAGTATTTTTCAGTTAATAATTAACTGAACTTTGTTCTCAGTCTCAGATGTTCCGCCTATGTGCACATCAATTGTATGTTAAGCTGGTCACAGCTATCTATATTTTGTCACTGCCATTCTTATTGGCTACCCTAACACCCATGTTAACCATGCAGGGAGGTTTAACAGTCTGATGTTAAACTTTATTGAACAGCAAAACATCCTTAAAAGTTATCCAAGAATTTTCTTTGAAGCATAATATAGCTCTTAAGTGAGATATCTTTGAATGTTTGCAGAAACATACGTTTTGCACGGTTTTGTTTTTATTGTAATCCTGGTTTTTGAACAGTGCCTGCCCCTACATGCCATGCTAAAACAGCCTGCAGATAATCTGGTTATTTTGCTGGTCAGCCAAACAGGCCTTTCCTGTCAAAAAGGGGAGTTGTTGGCCACATTACAAGACATAATGAGGCTCCGACAACAGACATCTGGCTTGCTAGACTAGCTGAATCTCTAAGGTAATTTGGTTAGACAGGGTTTTCTCAATTTGGCCCTCAGGGACTTCCTAGAAAGGGGAACTCTGATTTTGTTTCATCTAAAAACACATCTGAGCCAACTGGTGTTGCACTGATTGGATGACTTTGACTGTCTCTACTCACCTGTCCTCCTCTCCTTCCAGCAGCTTCCTGTAAGCGTTGATCTCCATGTCCAGGGCCAGTTTGACATCCAGCAGTTCCTGGTACTCATTAAGCTGCAGCTGCATGCGGTCCCTCATCTCAGCCATCTCGCGCTCTTTGCCATCCATCAGCCTACGATGCTTATCACGCTCGCTGTTCAGTATGTCTTCCAGCTCCCGCACACGCTCCTCTGCTGCTGCCGCCTGCAGGGGAGAACATACAAAACTTCACACTACATGTCACGCTACAGTGGTTAGCTATAAGAGCTTAGGAAATGATTTTCGTACAAAGAGCATCTTTCATTTTAAGATCTCATACTTTAAGAAACACGTAAGTGTCTTGGTCACATGTCAAGTTTGCTGGCATGAGGAGGATAGTCTGTGGCCACTGGTTCTCAGTAGTTTAGAATTAGTAGCAAGTCATGAGGGGTGCCAATTTGTGGCCTCACAATTTTATTCAATTACTATTCTCTAGCAAAAAAGACTCAATGCATCATGAAATCTCAGAGTTTGCCACAATTACAACTGATTACGAACACAGCCAAAGCAAGACAGAAAATCAGAATGAGATAATATTTGACAGAATACTTAAACATGCATTATGTATATTGTTTTACCCTTAGTATATACTATTTATACATATCTGTAAAGTAGAGACAGCAGGTTTTAATGATATCCAATGTTTACGGCATTCCTACCTGCTTCTGGAGAGCAGAGAGCTGATAGCTCAGGCTCTCGATCCTCACATGAGCCTCCTGCAGCTCCTCTCGTGCTGTACTCACTGCCTTGTCGTTGAGGTCAGACGACACCTTGGCATTATCCAGCTACACACAAGTAGAAAAAGAGAAACCCTGTTTGACCACACACATCAAATGCACTGCAGTTGTTTTTTTCTGCAGTTCGCACCAGAGCAGCACTGAATCAGTTCAGAGAAAGAATGACAGGAGTATTGCCCTTAGACTTGCTACCTAACCAAGTCAACAATATTTTTTCTTTTTTTAAAAAGCACACATTCACTATTTGCATTCAACATTTATCCTCTTTCAATAGTGTACATGGTACACTGGATAACACATTACCTTAGCCTGGAATGTTTGCTCCAACTCCACCTTGTAGAAGCTGACTTGCTCTTCGTGCTGTTTGCGGAGATCCTGCAGGGCCTGGGCCAGTTTGAACTCATATTCCTGCTTAGCCCCAGAGTCCACCTCAACCATACGCTTCTCATGGCGTCTCCTTGTCTCGCGCACCTCCTTCAACAACCAGACGAGGAACGCTCAAACCATCAGTGTCTGATACTTTCAGGCTAGAATTTGGTCTTGCATAATTTATTAAAAAAAAAAGACTTTATATATATTTTATATGTACATTTTTTTCATCGTCTTAGAATGAGATTACCAAAACTTGCAAAAACCCAGCAAGTAATCATTATGCATGCTTATTCTTTGTCTACCTGCTGAGACAAGTGATGAGTTCAAAAAACATTCACAGTTTCAGTCCATCATTTTAGAGTGTCACACAGTGTGGATAATCGGGGGGGGCTGAACACCCACCTCCTCAAACATGCTCTTCCTGAACTGCAGTTCCTCATTCAGACTCTGGCAACGGTTCTCCAGATCCACTCGCATCAGAGTTTCAGCCTCCAGCTGCTTCTTAGCCACTGCATGAGCATCCTCAGCCTGAAACAGACCAACAGCTCAGTGCAGGCCCATTTAACACATTTACTGTCTATTAAGTGAACCTGAGAAGGAGGTGAACCTTAGACAGCTGATTTTTCAGGTCAGCCAGTTCTGCGGAGAGCGCTGCATTCTCACTGACAGCCGTGCTGAGGGCTGCCTCGCTCTGGTTATACTGAGACTCCAACTCCCTGATACGGGCCTGAGCCAAAGCCAGGTCTCCATCCCTCTTTTTAAAGCTGGAAAATACAATGTGTGCAGCAGATATGAAATAACAGTGGCAATCAGTAATAAGTAATAAGGCTAAATATGCTAAATATGGAACTGATGAACAGCAAAAACTATCTGTGAAATTTGCATAATCTAATTTTACAATCAGATTTGATTATGCACAACTTTAATGAAAAGGGGCAAATGAGTGCACCTCTCTGAAGAAATTCAAAACATTATTTTTAGCGATAAACAGCTTTTCATAACATGACTCAGTGTATTTATTACGCCACAGTTTTGCACAAAACATCCCAGGAAAAAATCCCCAATGAATAACATAAGAGCCTTGCTGTCTAATGTGCAAAATCAAAACTAGATCAGACAAGTAGGGAAAAAAATCTATGACATGACTGTACATCTGTGGTATTTCCCTTGTGGTCACACCAACATTCGATGCTCATGAGCATATAGCCTCAGACTTCCTGTTCACTTGTGTTAACTAGCAACGAGAGTAAACCAAAGGAAACAACCGCACAGAGAAAAGGCACGCGAGTGAAAATAACTGATTTTTAAAAATTACTGGTGCGATGTAAAGGGTGGCTGTATAGAAAGAACATCCCACATGCAATGGTCGCCTGTATTATCCCAACAGATGGAACTGGTCTTAGATAAGCTTAAGGTAAACACAGACCACCATACGGTGGGTAAAAGCTTATAGGGTAAACTTTAAGTCAGTAAGGCATAGAAGAAAAACTCGCAGAACTCAAGTTCAGCTTAGATGATGTAATTTAAAATTATACAACTGGTCATGTTAAAGTAAATCTATAGCTATGAATTCTGTTTTATTCTTAGGCTTGACTTCCTCTTGTGAACATTCACGTTTGCAAAAGCCATTACACAATAAATACAAGGGTGTGTAAGTTATTACACAATATAAAGATTTGGTCATGCAATGAAAGATGTAAATAAGTAAAAATGTTTTTAGTCGTAACACATTTTCTATGGCAACCTACAAAGCAGAAAGACAGAATACACGTTCACTGAGCTCCTGAGCACTTCTATCACTATGGGTAAGTTTCCCAGGCATAGATTAAGCCCAGGCTTGGACCAAACTGTGCAACTGCAGTGAAATTTCAGTTGAGTTCTCAGCATAACGTGCAAGTATAACTTACTTCTTAGTGACCTCCTTGAGTTCAGCGTTGGCCTTGCCCAGATCAATCTGCAACTTCGCCCTCTCTTGTGCGGTGTCGTCAACAGCGTGTCTGAGATCGGCCAGCTCTGCCTCATACAGAGACTTAATTCCTGATACCTTTTGAGGGGAAAAAGCAGACCACCACTCAAAACCCTGGCTATGTGCTTTGGTCCCTTGGCCCTGTGGTTTTGTTTAAGACATGTGGCATGCAGCTGCATGTAAATTAACTGCTTGTTTACATATAAATATGACCAGAGCCAGACACACCCAACTCAAGATCTTCTATCGCCCATAGGACACTAAGTATGCTGGTGCAGTCTCTCCCTATAAGTTCTGTTAAACCACAGGATCTAAATCATCTACAGATGTGGAGTCTGCGTGTCTTCATCTTGGGAATAAAAAGTCAAGTTTGACTTAAGTGCATGTCCTAATTCAGCCCACTCTTTAAAACATTTTATGGTGCATGATGAGGGATCAGGGTCTTGATACTGGGTTATTAAACAATGACAAAGTAAAAGAGGAGAGATCAGATTCAAATTTGAAAAGAGCGCCGGCCACTCCCATTTGTTTATGAGGAGCGAATAACAACTATACTGACCAGCAGCAGTTCTGACAGGTTTATAAGGAAATAAGCAGCTAATTAACATAGCAAAAACAAAACCAACAACAACAGAAGCTACAAGCTCTGGATCTTCGGTTAGATCGATTCGATTACAGCTTTTCCCCCCTTATTGTGATCTTTAAAGCTCTGGATATTCATATGCATCATTAACCTCAAACTCGGCTCAACATAACACTTTCATATAATCAACAACTGCAATTCAAACTATATTAAATGAATTAATGCTGTTTCTTTCAGCTGAGTTTAGAACTGCATTAAATCTTCCAGTCACTTGTACGTTATTGCATGAGACAACTTAGCTAATGTTTAAAGTTAAATTATTATATCAGGTAGTTTTTAGCGTTTGAGACACAGTAATAAAAACACATAGGAGCACAAGAACTGACCACAGCGTCGTAGTTATGATTGCAGAACTTGTTTTTCTGAGACAACAACAAAATTTCCCGTTCCACTTTAAATCGTGCAGCACTTCCATTCTGGCGCCTCAACCATTTAAGGTGGAACGGGAAAATTAGAACAAGAGCTGGCGAGTAAGAAGCTCACTTCAGCTTCGTACAAACGTAACGGTTGGCTACGATAACAGGCTGTTAAATAAATATGACTAACGCTGACTAACTAGCGTTAATATAATCCCTGCACGCATGTCTCAGTGATTATCTACTAGCTAACCTAAGATGCTAACTAGCTACCATTGAAGTCAACAGGACTGTTAGCTTCTCGTTAGCTTTAGCAGCTAAATCGTGACATTCGTTAATTAACGTTACCTCTCTAGTCGTGACTTCCTCCTTCTCCGAGACTTTAACCATGAGCCTGTCGTTCTCCAGCTCCAGAGCCCGGACGCGGTCAATGTACACGGCTAGCCTGTCGTTCAGGTGCCGCAGCTCCTCTTTCTCCTGCAAGCGGGAGATGCGGGTCGGGGAGAGCGGCGTGGCGGCCGCGGCGCGGCTCGGTGTTGCGGTGGCCATAATCAGGGTCTTCACGAAACGGCGGAGCACAAACTTCGATACAACACCACTTCTTTTCCTCACCTACCGGACTTTTTCCAGACTTGCAGTCCTAATTTGAGGTGAACGTGTGAAAAAGCCGCTGGGTTAAGAATGAATATGAGTTTTATTCACAAACCCGAAAGACCCGCTGAAAGTTTTTTGAATGAAAGTCCAGCGGCGGCGCAAAAGCTTTGAAAAGAGGAGTGTGAAACAAAATGGCCGGCGCCAACGTAAAAACGCGCCAAAACCAGCGGCCTGTGAGCGCTGGGAAATGTAGTCCTTACGGAGTTTGTAGTTCTGCTAACTCTCAATCGTTGCTCAAATCCTCCCCGTTTGTTTAAAATCTTGTTTTTTTTTTCTTGTGTACATTTTCCAACCTCTCTTTATCCCTTAAGATTAAACAGGTTGTTTTTATACTGTACAGTTTGTGATACTGTACCTTTAACCTTGTAAGATGTGATATATGTAAATGGGTTCTGTTCCGATTGGTTACCCTGTGTTACATTTACTTACATTTTTCTTACATTTCATTTTTTATTTTGGGCGGAGCTAAACTGATACAGACTAAATAAGCTGTTGTGGTTTGTTGGTTATCAAACAATCACAGAAATAATATATACAAAATTGACTTTTTTTTGCAGTTTCAATATATGGACTGTTTGGACTCATGGCTGAATGGTACGTTGTGAAACTTTAACAATGTTTATAAACGACATCAAACTCTTAGATTTAAAAAAAGTGAGTTTTTGTTTTTTTTTTTTTTCATAAAACGGGGCCTTAAAATGTGACTCACTCTTGTAGTTTGTATTCTGTTATATAACTTAACGTTTAATCATATTCTACCAGCAAGTATGCACAGGGACATAGCCAGAACGTTTACAAGGGGGCTGGACAGGTTAGACCCAGTATTTTTAGTGGGGTGGAAAAAACAAACTGCAATAGCAGTTAATAAAGTTATTCTGCACTTCCTTTAGGCCTTCATTACTAGAATAACTGTTTTTTTACTAACTGGTTAATCAGATTTAAAAACATCTCAAAGTGATTTTATTGCTGTTTTTGATAAAGTTCATTAAAAAATATTGTTTATTTTGCTCCCTCGTTTTTACTTCTGAATACTGTGTCATTGGTTAGGATCATGTAATCCACAGCACCATGTACAACAAAATAAAATACTCTGCTATATTAATGTAGAAATATATATAAGTGCCTTTAGCTGTGCTTCCCTAATGTAGAAGTCTAATGTTAGCTGCTTCTTTAATATTTAATATTCTGGTTTGTCCATCTGAATTTACATGACCAAATTGTAAGGCCAATTATTCAGTAACTGCATGAAATGTAAATTTTTTATTTATTTATTTATTTTGTAAAAGCTCCCTTCAATTAACAGAACGTGTTTTATGATCGCACATATTGCTATATGCTTGCAATATACTGCTGAAAGCCAAAAATCTTAGACGCTCTTTGTATTTTTTTATAAAAATCATTTTTACTGAGCAGATCACTGAAGATCGCCATCTGTTTATAGTTTATAGCCCAGATTTGTGAAAAAATGGGTCGACTTTCAGTAGATAAAAAAAAACTGTGAGTTCAGCATCTTTTATTATAAGGGTTTAAAATTACATCACCCATCTATTTGACTGGAAAGAAGACAGTTACAGCTCTCATATGACACCCACCTTATGAATGTAGCTTATGAAATATGAAAGTTATGAAGAATATGATGAAGTGCGTTTTGGAACCACCGGTGGTCTCAAGGAGTAGAAAAGGTTAAGCAATAACAAAGTTAACATTGAGGTTTTGAACAGCGTTCATTCTTATATTTGCTCAGCACAGCAGCCAAATCAGAGCAGTGATGGGCTGATTATTGGTTATTATTGTGCAACATCATCCAACGTTATCATTATTACTGATCAGTAACTGTCCTGATGGCATGATTTCACAGTACAGTGTAAACATTCACACTAATTCACGTAGTAGGCTGCCCAGAAAGGTGGGCCAGTGTCACACTAGGGTGGATCTGGTCAGCTCTGACCACACTGCGGCAACGCCTCTGTGTATACAGTATGCTTAAAACAAACCTTCAGCTCATCTTTGACACAGAGTGTGAGTTATTCACTTGTTCTTGAAGCTAGTAAGGATTCTTATCATGATAAGACAACGACAAAAGTATACACTCTTCAAAAAGATGCTTCTTTAAGGGTTCTTTTTGAAAGAAAATGGTTCTATTTAAAACCATGATCACTCACAGAACCCATTGCATAATTAAAAGCTTCTTCAGATTGATGGAGAACATGCTGTAGATGGTTCTATATAGCACCTTTTTGAGTAAATGTACAGGAAGATGGAACACCTGCTGGACATTGCTGCCAGTCGCACCTCCTCCGGTGGCCACGGGTCAGCTGCAGGGTCATCAACCAGGAACCACCATTCATTAAAGTTTCACTCCTTTAATCCTGGAACGTCTCCTGGTGGCGGAGCAGTGACAGGGACGTCTCCCTGTCACCCCCTGCAGCTGATAGGTGTTACCCTCCACGGCTGTTGTCAGGGTTAGTTGTTCTTTCTCCAGCACTTGTCTCTCCTCCTCAGCCAGAGTCAAAAGCAGCCACCTCCGCTAGCTCTTTGGTTGCCTTCTTTAGGTTCCCTCTAGTCACTCCTGCATCCCTCAAAAGGCGTATGGTTGACAGCCCCACATAGCCTCAGTATCCAACCTCCACTGGATGGATGGTAGTCTTCCAGCCAGCCTCCCGGCACTCAGCAGCCAGTTCTGAGTACTTGGCCTTCTTGCGTTCGTAGGCAGCCTCCATCCCCTCCTCCGCTGGTATTGTGAGCTCAATGAGGAGCACGGATTTTGCCTTGAAAAGAATTCTAATTAGCACCAAAAAAGGTTCTTCCATTGGTACAATATCAAGCTTATGACAATGGAAGAACCCTTTTTGGTGCTATATAGAGCCCTTTTCAAAAAGGTGCCGTATCGAACCATGCTCCATCAATCTGAAGAACCTTTTCACGATGCAAAGAACCCAGTAATCATGCAGAGGGTTTTGTGAGTGTTTATGGTTCAATATGGAACCATTTTCTTATATGAACCCTTAAAGAACCAGCTTTTTTGAGTGTGTGAGAAATATTTATTTATTTAGTTTATGATAGAAACATTTATAAGTCCAGCTCGGTGGCAAATGTCATGCTAATTTTTTTCATGTGAATAAATCACACATTTTTGTCCTCCATCGTTTCAGTTATATATTGACAGATTTGCCCACCTTAGTAATCCTAATTGAATTTTTAGTGGAAAATAACACAAAGAATTACACTAAAGTTGTAATAGAGGGAAAGTTAATGGGGTGGAATATTATAATAATGGCAGTTTTTCAACAGTAAATGTTGATTATAACTTCAGCTTCTGTCACTTATTCTTTATCATGGCACTTAATGTAAAAGCACATTACTTCTATGGCTGAATTGGTCGATATGACAAGGTGGAAAGCAAAACTTAAGGACATAGATAAATTATTATTTTTAATGTTTTTCATGTAATGCTTTCATTTTCAATTATTATATTTTGTGTTAATGTAAGCACACATTGAGACTGGCAAAGGGTTTATGTTAAACAACTTTTACGTAATAATAATTAAATTTTAATGGCTGCCTATATGGATGTTTGCCAGTTGTAAAAAGACCCACATCTTTCATTTTTCTTACATTTCATTTTTTCTTTTGAGGCCCACTTTTACCATTTATATTGTTTTAGATAGATAGATAGATAGACAGACAGACAGATAGATGGATGGATGGATGGATGGATGGATGGATGGATGGATGGATGGATGGATAGATAGATAGATAGATAGATAGATAGATAGATAGATTTTTTTTAGATCATTTCTTTAATCCCAGAGGGAAATTCTTCTATTGCAGCAGTACAAAGCACAGTAAAGAGCAAAACAAGAGCAGCAAAGTATCACCGTGCACTATTTACAGATGTATAAATAGAAAGTAAAGATAAATAATGGAATAAAATAAAATAAAAATATACAAAAAACAATAAAAATAATATGCAGTACAAAAATACGAATTAAATTGCATAAATACTATGAAGTTGACAATGCAGTGGTGGCAGTGCAAAGTAATGTGAGTGGAGAGATGTAATGTAATGTCCAGCTGGTGCTCAGTGAGCCTGTCCTGTTAGTAGCTCAGTATACAGTATTGTCCCAGCACCGTGACGAGGTGTTGTACAGCGCGACCGCTGTTGGTACAAACGATCTCCTGTACTGTTCCTTACTACAGCTGAGCTGAATTAGTCTGTTGCTGAAGGTGCTCCGCTGTCTGACCAGTAGGTCATGGAGGGGGTGTGATGTATTGTTCAGGATAGCAGTGAGTTTATTAAATGACTTCCTTTCAATTTATGTGCCTGAAACAGTCATAATTCATTTTGAAATGATCATTTCCCAACCTCTCTTTATCTCTTGGTAAAGTGCTGTTTTGTTACTGTGCCTTTAAGACTGATATATGTAAATGAGCTCTGTTCTGACTGGCAGTTCTGTATTGTGCCTCATTCAAAAAGCAGCGCAGGCAGAAACACTCCTTATAACTTCAGAATGAGTGGGCGGAGCAAAATTACTGCAGGCTGAATATGCAGATATATGTAAATATGCTGGTTTTCGTGACGTCACAGAAACAGTGAATTTAAAACAGGCTGGTTTTTTTTTGCATTTTAGTTTCCATATACGGACTGAGAATGAGTGAATGGTATGTTTCGAAACTTTTATAATGTTTGCCCACTACGTCAAACTCTTTAATTTCAAAGAAGTGTGAGAATTCATTTTTCCATTATACAGGCCCTTTAAAACATAAATAAAAGCATATCACCTGCAAAAAAAAACAAAAAAAAAACACACCCATACACCCAAGTTAATGATGAAATTTGAATTAATATATTTAAAAAAAAAATCTTTTTAGCAGATTTCTGTCACTTATTTACGGCATCAAACGGCGCTCTTGTGATGGAATTATTTATTAATTATTAATGGTGTAAAAAAAAAAAAGAGAAAAAAGAGAAAAGCTGACTGGATAATTTAACTTATCAGATTTTATCGCTGGAGACAAGAAAATCTTTGTGTGTTATAAATGTATATATACATATATATGTGTTTTAAAGTGCCCCGCTGGGGGCGCTCCGTGACTTTTATAATAGTTTTTGCTGCTGTGCCGTTTTTTTCTCCGCATCCGCCCAGCGTCGCTCCTTTCCGGTCTGGACGCCATTAGAGAAAGCAGGTATGAATGTTCTGAGAATTACAACGTTTATAATCTTACAGAAATCAGCGCCATCCTCAATGTAAACCGCACAAACGCGTTCTCACCAAGAAGTGCGACTAATTTAGAGGGTCATCGGACCGTTCTTGCCATTAGATGTACGCGCCGTAGACGTTTAATCCTGTTTTATTTCGATCTTGGCGGCGGAGTGAAGGAACGGCTCTGACCTGAATTTCAGATCCTCCGCTGTTTAAATTAGACTTGTATAAAAACGAATAACTCCGGTCAGAAATGCTTCGGTAAAGGTTTACAGCACAGGATATCTGACCACTGTATAAAGACGTCCGAAACCAGGGTTTATGTTAGCAGTAGCAGAGCTGGCCAGGAGGACCCGTGTGTGGAAGGAACGGCCGAACGGTTCCCTCAGGAACACGCGTTCCAGTTTCCAGAGGGTCTTTAATGATATTGGCATTTTATTTGTGGAATATGTGCTTTAAAAGTGGTCTTTGCGTGCATTTGTCTCCCATAGCCTTGCATGTGGCACAGAAGCAGGTGGAGTTGTTTATACACACTTAATAAAGATGGTTCTTCAACCTTTAGTAAAGACAGTAGTTCTGTGTAGAACTGTGGGTTCTGTATGGAACCATTTCATGCCTACATGGTTATTCAAATTGATGGAGAATGTGGTGTTTATGGTTCTATATAGCAGAACCGGTTTTGGTGCCATGTAGAACCATGGTCATGACTAAAGAACCCATGAAGAACCAGTGTGGTTTAAAAGTGATGTGTATACGTTTGTCTACCTTAGTCTTGCGTGGGGCGAAGAAGCAGACAGCAGAGTTGTTTGTTGGAAACCCCAGCAGTTAAAGGGGAATTGCACCAATTTTTCAAAATTTCTGTATTCATTCGTTTGATGTGAAATGGTTCATTTGCAAAGAAGCTTAGTGACTCAGATTTCTTTACAGTGGTGGTTATAAGAGCCAAAACAATCCAAAACCTCCAGAACCCACATGTATCTAATGAGTTGCTCATAACGCCTGCATATACTTTTCTGCAGTTAATGGATTTAAAGTTCAGGCCAGAATTAAATCACAAAAGTATCATAAAATAATGTCTGACATCAAGTAGTGCATTCATAACCATTTCATGGAGTAACTTTCTGTGAGGGAGCTTTTATAGGTGGACAGCTGGCTCTTATCGCCACTGTGAACAATTCTGTTTTATTATGCAGGAATTTTGAAAAGTCGGTGGAGTTCCCCTTTAAAACACTGCTGCTAGAGCACAGCAGTTTTCACTTAAGGATAATGCCACATATAGAATAAAGCTTGTAATCTTGAAACTGGCCAGCTGGGACAGATCTGTGCTTGGTTTTTGTTGTAGGTAGTGAGCACTTTCACCCCCCCCCTCCTCAGACAGGCATAATAGGTGAGCTGAACGGATAGACAATTAGGCTAATATGTAAAAAATGGCTTTACACCTATTTTTGGAGTATATTACTCATACCTGTGATGAATGTGCAACTGTATGGAGGTCTGTGCCCCGTGAAAGCCTGTGTGAGGTTTTTGTTTTGTTTTTTGTTTTGTTTGCCCTGTAATTTCAGAGAGTATGGGGAGAACTTTCGTCAACTTTTGATGCTGCTGTTGATCATTGTAGCTGCATAGAAACTTGGTCAAGTCTTACAGAAAACTGCGAACATGTCTGCACCATCTGATCTGAATCTGCTTTGTTCCCAACAGAGATGGCTATTAGGTATCCTATGGCGGTGGGCCTTAATAAAGGCCACCCGGTGACCAAGAACGTATCCAAGCCCCGCCACAGCCGCAGGAGAGGGGTAAGTACATATTGAGCAATAATCTTTTAAAAACATAGATTATAACGGCTCACACATGGAATTGGAGACACTTGGGCATGAGTGTTAACTTCTACAGTATTAGCAGGTGATGCATAGTTGTGCATAGTTGTCAGCAAACCAGAAAGCTGGTACTTTGTCTTGAACCTCTGTAGTCATTCAAGCTTATCTGTGCAGCAGGACATTTATCAGTCTAATAAGTGTAACACCAGCATCAGTGGTCACTTGTGAACCTCATCAGATTTCCTAATGGTGTTATTTCTGTCTCCAGCGTTTGACCAAGCACAGTAAATTTGTGCGTGATATGATCCGCGAGGTGTGTGGCTTCGCCCCCTACGAGCGCCGTGCTATGGAGTTGCTGAAGGTCTCCAAAGACAAGCGTGCCCTCAAGTTCATTAAGAAAAGGGTAAGTCATTTTGTCAGTAGACACAAACATGTAGGCTCATTTGAGGGGTGATGTGTGCCATGTGTCTGTTGCGTATCACCACTGTTGGAATAAAAACCATAACAGTCCGTAACGGTCCTTCATCACAAACTGTTAGAACAGCATAAAGATCGTATTCTGACAGTGACGAGTTGCAAGCAAGTCCAAACTGAAACTGGTATATTTTCCTGTGTTTTTATGGATTGGCATTAAGTGTGGCCTCCTGGCTTGAGGGCCAGTGCATAATGGTTACAGATGTAATGATGGTCCTGGAAAATCAGAAACTAATATCTGAAATGTCAGAATTTAAAACTTTATCTCTGATGCGCCACTTGGTCCCTTCTGATGGTCTTGTTGTCTTTCGTGAAAACTGGTGTCAATGAAAACTATACTGTGGGTACATCCTGTCAGTCAAGTTCAGAGGACTAGGCTTTTTGTTTTTATGGTATGAAATCTTTACTTCAGAATCTAAAATTGGATTAAACCTGAAAATATTCATTATTACATCCCTAATAATGAGTAGCGTCTGCTCTATCACTCAGTTCTCTGAACTTATCAGTTCTCATCAATGTGATGCCTAGATAAAGGCGAAGTGCAGTCACAGTCTGACATTTGTTGTATGTATTTCTGAGCATATGATGGGATATTGTGAGTACTTGAACACTGACTAACTGCATGTTTCATTACGAAGAGCATAATTAGACCTGTTCAACTGTGTTTAGTGCAGGTTATTGGAAATGTTGAATATTCATTGCATTCATAGTTTTGATAGAAATTTTTAAATGTGACACTACTACTGCATTGTAATACAATTTTGTGATCAGTGTCATGAAAATCTCTCTACCATTTTTTCCAAAATTCGACAACCCCTAATTGTGTTTATTCTTGCTTTTACTTGTTGTGCTTTACACTTGGTGGTGGTTGTCCATCTAAACCAAGCGTCTCGTTCAGTTACACTGAATATTTCAGATTTATGTTGTTGGGCTTAGGCTGAAGGGTTGCAGGACTACACACTGTCTGGTAGTTCAGTGATGTGAACCTAAAGATTTATTGCAGTAGCAGTGTATAGCAGGGCTGCCCAGAGTTGGCCCCTCAGGATGTCTGACATGGTCCATCAGAAATGTACCCTAGACCCCCCAAATGAGAGAACGAACATTTTTATATATAACTTGTCCTTATTTTCCTTGTCAGTTGGTATTAAGTATTTTACAAAAGTGTAATTATTTAAAATGCACTTAAAAACAAAACTTGATTGAAACCTTTTTGCTCTCGGCCCACCATAAACTTCGGCCACGAGGATGTTGATATGAGGATTTATTAAGCTGCAGCGTTATCTTAACAGAGCATAGAAAGCTCTGTATTCATCTGCCTTCTCTTCACACAGGTGGGAACTCACATTCGCGCCAAGAGAAAGAGGGAAGAGCTCAGCACCATCCTGGCTGCAATGAGAAAGGCTGCTGCCAAGAAGGAGTAACCTGTATTATTGGACAAATAAATTTGTATTTGAAAAATATAAGTTTCGTTGTACGTCTGCTTGATTCTTTTTGTTACGCCGTAGTAAACAGGCCTTCTTATTTCCCCAGTGTATTTTTATTTTTATCTCAGACTTTGCTGTCGTCTTAGGCGTTTGCAAACTAACCTTAACAAGTCACAATTCTTGATATGAGCATGCTGACCAAGTTCAGATCCCTCTGATGTTGGAAGGAAAGCACAAATCCCAGCTATTTCAATGTTCAGCATAATCTTTGGTCACATTCTCATTCTCATCAGCTCTTTTAACCAACTTCAAAAATGTTGCAACTGTAATATTGTTTACAGCCTCAGTAAAAATGGATAACTGAGATTAATGTACTCTGGTTATGGCATGAGATGTATACAAGACACTGAAGTAAAACTATGGACACTATCAAATAATTCAAAGGCAGCTGTTAAATGGAAAGTTGAGAAAATCAACAGACATGTTAGTGAAATGCTTCTTCATCACGAGATTAACTGTGACATGTTGAATTAAAGGCTGCGTAGCAGCAATATCATGATCCCAGTATCTTCAGGTAAATAATTGGGATCTACAGATTTCAGTGTTCATCTGGCAACCTTTGCTGCATTTAGGGGCATCAACTTTGACAGACAAGAGAAGTCCATGTCAGCAAGTGCTGGTAGAAGGAACCTTGTTTAGCTTCTGTGTGCCAGTGCTTTCTTCATATGGTGCACTTAATCAACTGTAGGCATAGAGCAGCTGATCGCGAGTGACGTTCTTCACTGCCCTGGGAACACGATCTTGTAAATCTCCTCATAATGTTCAACAAAGTGCACCTCCAGGCCTTCTGTGATGTACTCAGCCAGGTCTGAGAAGTCTTTCTTGTTTTCAGCAGGGAGGATGATGCAGTCTACACCAGCTCTTCTGGCCTGTGGGGGAACAAACAATGACATTATGCAAAGAATGCAATACTAACAGATACAAAACATCATAAAACATGATTTGTGAAGTTAATGAAGACAAATTCTATCAACATAAATCTTACAATAATCATAGATGGTTCTTCAGGGTTTTTTTTAGTAAAGTGGTTCTATATAGAACCATAAAAAGAACGCTTTGCATGATAAAAGGGTTCTTTGACAGAAAATGTGCTATAGATGGTTCTGTATAGAACCTTTTTGAAAAGGATTGTATTGTCACAAGCATGACAATGTAACAACAGAAGAACCCTTTTGGATGTTATATAGAACCATCTACAGCACATTCTCCATCAACCTGAAGAACCTTTTAATCATGCAAAGGGTTCTTAGAGTGTTCATGGTCCTATATAGAACCCTTTTTCTTTACTAAAGAAGCTCTCGAAGACCTTTTTTAAGAGTGTACATGAACTTACATGAAATATTGGCTGTCAACAGCACCAAGTTACTTATATAATGCATAGTGTTATATAATGTACATGTAATTTTAGAAGTTTCTGTCTAAATATCAGGCACAGCTGATGATGACTTGTCTGAAACATCCTGTTAGGAAATGTTTTGTTTATACAGTGCTGTACAAAAGCCTTGGACACCTAAACAGTGTTTAAAACCATAGATCTGGGCAATAACAATCTATGCAACAACAAATGCAAACAAGCATTAATGAAGTAAAAGGTAATAAAAATTTCTCATTTTCAAAAAAGTATCTTTTGAACTAGATTCAGAAGTAAGTTTGGTTCCAGATTTCTCCCTGATGACCCCAGCTATCGCACGGATTTATTCAATTCCATCCGCAAAATTCATGAGGGATTGATTAACCAAAACAGGTAATGGACGGTAACAACAAATGATACTGGGCTGCCATGAGGAGAGGTTTGGAAATGCATGCTGACATACATAAAATCATTACTTATTTTATTAGTATTATATATTATTTGTATTTATTCTAACTGTTGTTTTCTGAGCACATAAATATTTAATGCTCAGTTAAACACAGTTGTATGCAACAGTTTGGTCACCCTGGTGAAAATTATTGACCACATCTTCTACAAAGGATTTGTTGAATTTATCATATTGGGGGGAAAAAAAGCAAATCATGCACTAACATTTGCATCAAATTTTCATATTTAGGTTGGTTCTCTGTAGAGGATGCATCAACTTATTTTCACAACAAAACATGTTAACTGACCAGGGGTATTCAACTGTAGAAGACTTTTGCACAGTACTGTTTATCACTGCTGTTGGAACAAAACCTCGTATCTCCCAAATGGTAACTTTACAGGAGAAGGAAAAAACATACTTTACTTTCAATGCAAGTCAATGGAACCAGAATTTTTTCCAAGTCATTTTGTGCCTTTACTTTTAGTCCATTCGTCATGAAATTTACACACAATGTAAAGGACAACAGGCATTTTAAATAATCATTTTAAATTATGTCATAAGCAGAAAAATGACAAAAATGGAAATACGAGGTTTTGTTCCAACAGCAGCGATGTATTAAATGATGTTTATTCAGCACATGGCTGCATTAAGAAAGAATAACAATGAATCAAGTTTGACTGGACTTTGATTTTGTGAATACTGGCTGCTTTCCGTCTGTGAAACTCACCGCAATGGTCTTTTCCTTGATGCCTCCAACTGGCAGAATCTTCCCAGTCAGGGACACTTCTCCCGTCATGGCCACATTCTGCCGCACTGGTGTGTTTGTGGCCAAGGACAGCAGGGCTGTCACTATAGTACAGCCTGCACTTGGTCCATCTTTAGGGGTGGCACCCTAACAAACAGTCACATAAAATGAGAATCAGAAGATAAGAACACACCAGTTTGAAACAATTACCAATTAATTAATGTAAAACTGTAACATAAACTAAGAAACCCCTATCAAAACTTGTGCCAATAGAAATAAGAATCTGTTAATTACAAGGACCATTTATTGAAATGTTTTGCTTTTACTGGTGTCCTTACCTCCGGCACATGCAGGTGCAGATGAGAGCCCACAAGGAAGTCGTTTTCTGGCTGTTCCTTCATGAGGAAAGAGCGGGCGAACGTGTAGGCAATCTTTGCACTCTCCTTCATCACATCTCCCAGCTGCCCCGTGACCTCTAGCGAGCCTTCAGTGGGTCCGTCTTTCCCCTTAGGGGTCCTCGGTCGCCTCAGAGATGTCTCAATGAATAGCGTGGAGCCACCTGAGGAGAAAAGACAGGAATTGTAATGAACAGTACACTCAAGGTCAGGTTCAGTAAGCCAGCGTGGGCTTTTTCTGATGAATGTGACCACAGTGAAAATACGTTCTAGGGCAGGGATGTCCAGGCTTACCCAGTGTGTTCCAGCTTGTTTGGAATGAAAACCTGCAACCATGCTGGCCTTTTGCAGATAAGACTGGGTACCATTGTTTTAGGGCTTTATTGTGGCTGCTTTACTCTTAATTCCTAATCATAAAAAGGCCTGAAAGCTGATTCCACTCACAAGTTTACCAAATGCTTGCACTGCTAGTTATATTCCTATTTAGAAATACCCTATTTAACCATGTTTATTTATCATAATTCATTATGTTTTCAGTTGTAGAGGCAGAACTAAACTTCATGCGTATGCTTCTTATATCTTCTTACCCATAGCTGTCCATGCCAGGCCCATGACCACCCCCGGTGGAGTGACATCATACATCCGGTCCACTGTGAAGAGAGGTTTGCCAACATAGTCCTGTAGATTTTCGGCTGTCACTCTGATAGAGGTCTCCTCGCCGTTAACGATGCGGAACGCTGCTTTCCGGAACACCTGCAAGAACCCAAGAATGTAGAAAAAGATATTAAAAAATGGAAAAAAGTGACATTCAAGAAACTCAGGCCAAGGTACTAAACTGTCACTGGGGCAGTGCCCCTCTTGTCACTGGGGTGGTACCCTCAAGGGTCCATCTCAGTACCTTTAGTCAGGGAACATAACTGAACCATAATCCACTGAAATGATATGTTCTAAGCTGTACTGACTCCACACACCCCGTCTCGTCTCCAGGCTTTTATTTTACTGTTCTGTTTTAAAACATTCAGTTATGAAAAGGTACAAATACGAACTTTTCACCTGGAAAAACTTATTTAAGGTTCACAATCAGACCTTAAAACCACTGTTGGACCTTTGAGGGCACATTTACATTGTTTGTACCTTGACGAACGAAAAATGTACCTGAACAGAACCTTTATTTCTAACAGTGTAGCTCAAGCTCTAGTCTGGATAATCCTAAGGGCTTGGCCATAAAATCTATCTCATACAAAAACATATTAATGTTCTTAACATTCTTACCTTCTCCACCTGTTTCTGGAGGTTCCTGACTCCACTCTCTCTGCAGTACTGTCGGATAAGAACGTTCAGCGCTTCGGAGGAGATGCTAGTCTTCTGCTCATCTAAACCACACAGGGCTCGCAACTGGGGCACCAGGTATCTCTGCAAAGAAGAGTATTACTAACCAAATAGCATAAACCAATATGGCACAGTAGCAGCTAAAAATACAGGATAATACTGTAATATTGAACTGAAAGATGATTCAGAGCATGGAGAGAATGTATTAATACAGTACAGAAGGTACCATATCAGTACAAGCATACACACTAAACAAATCAAGAGATAAAGCCAATCAAACGTGTGTATATTTTTGGAAATATTAATATAGGATGTACAGTATGCTGTTGTTTGTTACCTCTGCAATGGCCAGCTTCTCCTGAGCTACATAGCCAGATACATTGATCATTTCCATTCTGTCTCTTAAAGGTTCTGGAATGGTGTCGAGCACGTTGGCGGTACAAATAAACAGAACCTGGACAGAAAGCACAAAAACAATATGGTACAATTAAGGCAAAAGTCCTCTTGTAATAAAGTGGTGTATATTAACTGCGAGTAATCCAACTAGTGTACCTTGGACAGGTCCACAGGCACATCTAAGTAATGGTCCAGAAAATTTGCATTCTGCTCAGGGTCCAAAAGCTCCAAGAGTGCAGAAGATGGATCCCCTTGGTAACCCCTGCCTATCTTGTCAACCTGTTGCAAAAAAACGTAAATATAAATATCCTGGGG